AAAAAAAAAGACAACTTAATTAAAAAATGGGTAAAAAAGTTGAGTAGACATTTTTCCAAAGACATACAAATGGCCAATAAGCATGTGAAAAGTTGTTCAACATCGTTAGACATTAAGGAAATACAAATCAAAACCACAATTAGATGCCACTACACCCAGTAGAATAATAACAAGTGTTGGTGAGGATGTGGACAAATTGGGACCCTCATACGCTGCTGGTGGAAATGTGAAATGATGTGGTACTTTGGAAACCAATCTGGGAGTTCTTTGGATGATTAAACATACAGTTGACCTTATGAGCAGCCGTTTCACTTGTAGTTGAATACCTCAGAGAAATGAAAACGTATTCACACAAAGACTTGTACACAAATGTTCATAGCAGCATTTTTTTCTTTTTTTTAATTTTAAAATGTTTTATTTATTTTTGGGAGAGAGTACAAGGGGGGAAAGGCAGAGAGAGAGGGAACACAGAATCCAAAGCAGGCTCTGCACTGACAGCAGTGAGCCCTATGTGGGGCTTGAACTCATGAACCATGAGATCGTGACCTGAGCCAAAGTCAGATGCTCAACTGACTGAGCCACCCAGGTGCCCCAAAGCAGCATTTTTCATTAGAGCCAATAAGTGGAAACAGCCCAGATGCCCATCACCTGATGAGGTGGATAGTCACAGAATAGAATACTATTCAGTCATAAAAAGGAATGAAATACTGATGCAGGTTTCAACATAAATAAACCTTAAAAATATTAGACTGAAGGAAAGAAGCCAGTCACTAAAGTCACATATTGTGTGATTCCATTTATATGAAATGTCCAGAACAGGCAAATCTGTAGAGGCAGAAAGTAGATTATTGGTTGACTCTAGGATCAGGGGAAGGGAGGCGGGAGGTAAATAGGTTTCTTTTTGGGGTGATGAAAATGTTCTGACCACAGACTGTCCTGTTGGTTGTACAACTCTATATCAAATTGCACACTTTAAGCAAGTGAATTTTATGGTGTATGAATTATATTTCAGTAGAGAAAGGTATTTCAACAAAGAAATAAAATTTCAATAAATATAATAAAATAAGAAAAATATATATAAATATGAATAAATAAAATCAGTTTCTCAGTTTTATGGGACTATTTCTTATAATGTCCTTTAATGCAGGCTGGTATCTAAATACCCAATGCAAAAAGCAGTTCTAGGAGGACCCAAAACAGTGCAATACTAGTACATATTTTACCACATAGCTTTTAAACTCCAATTAGAACAACAATCTGTATACAGTTTCAGGCTGCACTTTGTTCGTCAGCTTTGTAATAGCACCAGTGATATACTGTTTGAAGGCACTATCATTTTCTTGTGGAAGTTTATTCTATTTGAGGAGATTAGGGAGGGTGTGACATTGCTTTACCACAGGCCTACAAATGGCTGACATATTTAAGCACTTGATAAATTGATTCCAAGTTTCCATTTTCTCACATTGTGATAGGAAGTTAACTGTCAGTTCTTCCAGTTTCTCCTCTCTTATTGACACATAAAACTTCAGGACAGCAAACTGTTACTGTTCATTATTCTTTCCTGACTTCTTTTTAAAAATTGGTACTGGAGGAACTGAGAGGGTTTTTCTAGTAGGATCTTTCTTGCTACAACCTGTGACCTTTTCATATATTCAAGTTTTTACTGTTTTAAAAAGATGATACTAGGAAACTTACCTGTTGGCACTAATCTTTAAATTGCTTCCTTTTCCATCACCGAAGGAGAAGGCCTTAATAATTGGCCTGCCCTCCTGCACAGTAAATGGAAGCCATATGGGTTGGAAATGTCAGCTTCTGCTGTATCTCTAATCCCAGATGGCAGGTGAATTTGTATCCAGGATTGAGTAGTTTTATGCCTTTGCCAGCTTAGTACTCCACCCCTGGGACAAGAAATAATCGCTCACTTATAACCCACGTTCCGTTCCCTTCCAAATGCTAGTCTGTTATTCAAAGGCCATTCATTTTTTTATTAAGTAATTAAAAAGGACAGTTGGACCCCACATAAATTGCTTAAGAGCAGGAAGTAGTTTTAAATAACTGTTTTGAATAGGTCCCAGCAACAGCTCATTTAATACCATCTGAGCTGTTAGAAACTAAAGAACAGTTGTAACGTTAAATTATTTGATTCAAGCTATTTTGATACGTGAATGTCAAGACGTAAATTAGCAGTTGGCTATTTAAAATAAGGAAAGCAACATAACTCTTGGTTGTTTGTAGTCAGCTTGACTGACCCATTGTCTTAGCTATGGATGCCATTAGTTTAAAAGGTTCCCATGCCACCTGAAATGTTAAAAATAATAGACCCTCTCCCCGCCTCACATTTCCCCACAATTTAGTTTCTCGCAGCAATCCTCGCTTCTCTAGTTGACTTTTGTTATGAATGGGAATAGGCTGAGGTGGGAGCCTGGGATGTCTGTGCTGGCAGCAATGCTGTTGGTTTACTCACTCTTTTTCTGTCTTCATTTTTGCATGCCACTGCTCCTGCCTCTTACAGCCACAGTAGAAGCGGTAGAGGCCCGGGAAGGTATGGCCATATTCCTGTGTTAGATGTGATCATGTGTCTGTCTACTAGTTTTAAAGAGCTGTGTCAACATTTGAAATCTTCAATTATTGCATCGTCAGAACTGTAACAGTGAGAAAAGAATTAAGTATTTCTAGGCATGCTCATAAAGTGTTTCCTCTGTGTCCTGTATTGGTGTTAATTTAAATGACTTTCTCCACAGTTGAAGTCCTCTCTGGGCTCTATCAGTTTTTGTTTTTTATTTTTGTAAAATGTTTATTTTTGAGAGAGGTGGGAAGGGGCAGAGAAAGAGGAGAGAGAGAATTCCAAGTAAGCTCTGCACGGACAGCACAGAGCCTGATACAGGGCTCGATCTCATGAACCTTGAGATCACGACCTGAGCTGAAATCAAGAGTCAGACACTTAACCAACTGAGCTACCCAGGTGCCCTTGGGCTCCATCAATTTTAATGCGATGGCTGAAGCTTAAGCAAGTGGTCATGAGGGATCAAGTGGTTTAATCCAGTAGCCCCTCCTTGTAGAAGTGATTTCTATTTGATTACTAGAGACTCAAACAGGTCAGCTTCTTTTTCTAATGATTCTAAAGGACATCAAGAACAGAGTCAAAAGTAGACAGGGATTTAGTTTAATTCATTTCTGAGGTTGCACTAAGGCAGTCAGGCTAAATTATCTTTGTTTCTAAGAAAACAAGTTTCAAGTAACAAATCCTCTATGAATCTGATGGTGAAAATCATTGGAATTGATAAACATGTGTTATAAATTTAATTGTTCTGTTAAGTAAGGTGATTGAAAATGGGAAGGCCTTCCCTTGGTGATACAAAAATTCAATTAGAAAGATCTCCAGAAGCTCTTTTTCAGATGGCTTTTAACTTACATTCAGCTCCTGGTCGTGCAAGACAAAAAGCTGTCCTTCTAAACAAAAAGATGAGCTCTTATTGGTACTTTTTTTGTGGCCAATATGGTATTTGTGCTAAAGTTAACTACTCTGTTTAACTTGTTCTGTTATTCTAGCATTGCCTTTTTTTCCTGACACTCAGCATGTTTTAGGCCCATAAGAAACTCTCAAATGTGTTACGGTTGGGAACGAACCTCTTAGCCATTTGTCAGGCGTGCTTCTGCCATGATTAATTACATAGAGCTTCTGTGAAAAGTACTTCCACAGTGTCAGCTGCCCTCTGAGCCTTAAGGAAGCAGTAGCTTCAGACAAGTCTGATTCAGATCAAATATTGCCTATTTACCTTCACCAGACGTCTGCTCCAACCCTGTATGGTACTCTCTAGGAGGTTGCTGTGTGCTAGCATGCTTTAAGCTTGTTGCTTTGCTGTCTAACTGAGCTCCTCCCTTTCCTGTTTTCCTGTAGCCATCAGAGGGTTTTCGCTTCAGCACAGGATCCGGAGTTTTGAAGAAGCCCGAGGACTGGACCGAATTAACGAACGGATGCCACCCCGAAAAGACAGCCAGTACCCTGACGGGCCAGTGAGACTGCCGGCACAGCCCAGCGCTGCGCACAGGAGCGACAGGGGGAGAAGAGCCAACAATGACACAGAGCCCTGCTGTGGCACAGGTGGATCGAAAACTTAAGAACAAATTTTATTTATTTATTATTGGAAAACAAAACAAAACCAACTTCAACAACTTAAACCTGGAGGTGCATTCATATATACTTAGCATTTATGCTGTAAGAAAGGTGACCATTTTATAAATTGTTTTTAATTTATGTTTAATATATATAAAAAGAGAATCTGTTTTGTTTTTCCCTTTTCTTCCTAATTTTTAGGAACTGATCTGATTGTCTGATACATATGTGAAGTCTTGTGCTACACAGGGGACCTTCCCCTAATAAAAGGGCCTTGGAAACCTCCACACTGGGCTTCTGACTTGAACTAGCCAGCCTTTTCTCCTGTTCGTTTGGAAGGTGATAGCTTTCATTTCAGACTAATAATAGTTTTTCAAACATAAGAGGGTTTTTTCTTTTCCCTTTCTACAGGGTACTGTTGAAGAAGATGGCTTGGATTTCACTGGCTAAAACTACTCTTCTTATGGAAAACTTGATTATAGTCAAACTTCTCAGTGAATAACCCAAACCCAGTGATTTTGAGGGCCAAGGAGAATGTTTTCCATATAACCTACTTTCTTCTGGACTCTCAATTCCTTTTAATATGTTCTAGTAAGACAAAATAAAAAGCAATGAGAGATTTTCTTAGAATTATTCAAAACCTGTTCTTCCAACCATGGGCATGGTTGGTTCAAACTTCCCTTAGAATTTTGGAGGTTTCTTATCCCAAATCCTTTTGCTTTCATTTTTGAAGCCCAGGTAATTTACCCAACTGCAAAGGAAGCTACATTTCTAAATATTTTATAAATGTCCTCCGTAGAACTTTCAAAAATAAGAGGTATTTGTGTCCTTCTGTGCGATTGTATCAGCTATTGCGTCTGTTCTCCCCATTGTCCTTATATTCCTGTGTCAGCATTTTAAAAACCAACTGGGGTAAAGGAAACTGACTAGGGTAGAATGATCCCCTTATGAATTGGGAGTCTTGCTAAAGGACATTGGACAAGTGAGGATTTCCTATTTTCTGTATCGGTTACTGGGATGTTTCTCCACCTTACACACTCATTAGGTTGAACTGTATGTCAGTCTCCATCAACAAAAACAAGTGTTCAGATACAGTGTTTGAATAGTCTTTTCAACAACCAGTGAGTGAAAGAAATTTTGGTGATCCTTGGGCTCCCATTTTTGGTTTAGCCTGGTGACAGGTACCATGTTGTAATGCTCATTTGTCAGCTTTGCAGTGAATGTCTGTGTCTGGGCAATACTACACCAAAGTGCATATTTACACAGCTCTTAATATCATTTGGCATGTAGGAGTCCAGCATTGAAGCAAGCATCTCAGACAGTAGTATTTGATGTTGTAAGCTTAAAGGACACCAGAAACCTTTTTCAAAGAAAAACCCACAATTTCACTAGAAGAATGAGGATTTAGCCCATCTATCTATGTTTCCGTATACCTTTTGCTAATAACAGTTCCCAATTTATGAGAGAGAAAGCATGTTGGGGCTTGGGATCTGGTGGCATGGATTACTCTGTTAATAAAAAAAAGATAGGAAGGATATGGGGGAAGGAGATAAAAGACCTCTTACTAGGTTGTGAGTAAAACCTGTGAAAGGAGGGAGACAAAGTCTTGAATAGTTTCCTTTACAGATCGTCATTTCTTTATATTCAAAGAGGGAATTCATCATCTGCATATCCTCGTACTCCTCCCTCCCCGAGTCCCACTCTAGAAGGGACACTGTTTTGGAAATCTCACCTAATAAGAAGGTCAGTCCACATGACAGTTGATGGATGGAATCCCTTACCCCTTTCTCCTTTTCTTCTAGCTGAGGCTATTGTTATACATATATAATCCACAGGTAGAAACCACTCTTAAGGGCTTCAGTCAGCAAGTAAGTAGTGAAATAGTTACTACAAATCCTTACAAGCAAAAGATACTGTACTAGTAAAAAGGATGATTATTGAGAAATGTCTTCATTATCTTCTCAAAAACAAGCTTTACAGTAAAGCAAGTTTCCTTGATAGAGGATGGCAAAAGACCTATACATACAGAGAACAAACTGAGGGTTGCCAGTCACAATGGGGGGGTGCAAAATGGGTGAGGGGGAGATACAGGCCTCCAGTTATGGAATGAGTAAATCATGAGAATAGAAGGCACAACATAAAGAATACCATCAGTGATACTATAATAACGATGTAACAGGACACATGGTAGCTACAGTTGTGGTAAACATAACATAATGTATCAACTTGACAAATCACTGAGTTGTTGTCTGAGATAACGTGGCATCTAATTATACTTAAAAGAAAAAGAAAAAAAAAAAAGATGGGGCGGGGGGGGGGGGAGGATGTATTTTACAGGTACCCTGGGAGCTGTTGAGGGATCAGCCAGAGGGGGTAAGAAGTCATGATTCAAGAAAATCAGAGTGAGTTGAAAATAAAGCAACAAGGAAGTTAGGTTTAAAAATTCAAATTTTGTTGAATTCTAAAGATAAAGGTATTTCTTATGTTCTGTAGAAAGCTGGGGTGTGTGTTTCAGCAGTTGAGAAAGTTGTGTGGTAAACGTGTCTCTGTGTAATACACACAGCTTCTGAAAGTGAGACTGTCAGTCTATACTTTATATGTATTTACACCTGTGACTCAAGATGGTTTAGAAGGCATGTGCCTTGGGGAAGTATATATATATATGGATATATATATTGTGGTAACAGGACTTGTTCTTCACTTTAGACTTCGTTGGAGGGTTTTAACATATTTTCGAATGTTTTCATCTAAACAGTAGCTCCCAAGATGGCTGGCTGCCTGTTCTGGGTTTGCCTAAGGCCATCATTTCAAACAAACATTTTCACTGCTGTCAGAGCTCTGCAGTATTCCCATTTTCAAAGCCTCTTCTATTATAGTAAATCATACCCCTGCGGGTTCTAAAGATACTAAAAATACTTTTCTCTTGTTCTCTTTTACTTTAAGGTCCTTAGGGACCTTATTTTCTTCAACTTCTTTTATCTGGGGAAAAAAAAACAACACTTCTTACATCAGTTCCCTAGACATGTTGGAGGACTCTTTTATATACTTTACTGAAATATCATTTTAAAAATGACACTTCCCAAGGACCAATTTTTCCATTTGTGTTTACGTCTGCATCATAAGAAATTTCAAATCGATCAGGTGACCATTTTTTTTTAAATAAAAATTTAAAAACTCATCTAACACAAGTTTAGAACATACATCCTTTTTAAATCTCTGTGTTCTGAATATTTAAGAGCAAACCCCCCCCCCCCATAAGCCAAGGGGTGTGTGTGTTTAAAGGAATACTAAAACAGGGGCGCCTGGGTGGCGCAGTCGGTTAAGCGTCCGACTTCAGCCAGGTCACGATCTCGCGGTCCGTGAGTTCGAGCCCCGCGTCAGGCTCTGGGCTGATGGCTCAGAGCCTGGAGCCTGTTTCCGATTCTGTGTCTCCCTCTCTCTCTGCCCCTCCCTCGTTCATGCTCTGTCTCTCTCTGTCCCAAAAATAAATAAAAACGTTAAAAAAAAAAAAAAAAAGGAATACTAAAACAAATGCCACCTCAGTTTCTTTTAAAACCTCAAGGCAAACACATGGTTATGGGTCTGACATTGCTGGTCTGCTGGCCTTTTGTGACTAGATATTGACCAGCAGAGTGAAAATTGCTTGTCACTCTCTGATGGGCTTGATCTGGCTTCTTGCCTAGAGATAGAAAATCAGGCCCTCCAGGAACATTGGTAAATTTTATCTACATTTATATTGCCTTTTCTGTTTCTACACAACAGTTGCGGTTCAATGAAACAAGTTCCTGTCAATAACAAAGAGTTGATTTCTTATCCTAATAACTTAGGTATGACTTCCTGATACTGTTCAAAATAGGAAAAGAAAAATCCTTTTATTTGTTTTGTCAACAGAATATTATTATTTAATATTATTAAGGAGCAAGGGTGGGAGTTTTTAAAATTAGGTAACTTTGGGGCCCTTTCAGCCTTGTCATTGTCTCACAGATCCTCTTCTAAGTAATTTTAAAACAAAGTTTGAAGCAGCTGCCCTTTGTAAGAACATTACAAACCATGCTTACATGACACACAGCTGGGCTTACTGCTCATGGTCATTACTCGCGGGTCTTCTCCAGCCTCTCTGAAGGAGCAAGGCTAAAATCACTTCCCTCCACCCTCCTTTGTTTTATGTACATATTGTAGCTGATCTCCAGAATTTTTGACCATGCTTTATCTATAAATATAAAATTGAAGTTCTTGAGAATTAACCGTTTAAGTTAAAATAATTAGGAAGAGCTTGCCCCAGGTTGACTAATTTATAGTTTTTCTTTGTATTACCAGTTTTTTTCCTCCAGTTTTTCTATTGAAAGGTATTCCTGAACCCATAAAGACTTGTTAAGATATCATTCTAGAATCCCCACTATTTATTATAGTTGTTATAGTAACAGTGGAACCCAAGTTTTTTTTTTTTTCAGAGCATTATTCAGTTTTTCTTATGTAGGCAGAAATGATTTCAGGGGAAAGGTGAACCCAAAGCCGCAGTTGTGGGCATGAGGCTCCAATTTCCTAAATCATTTGTGGTTATAATGATGGATAGATACCACCTTGTCTGGCACCTGGTCCACAGCTTTCCTGAAGTCTGCTATAAGAGGGAGTAAAGGGCAGCCTGGGGGCCCCCAACAAGAGCTGGAGGAGGGTCTGGATGACCTGGAGGGTAGTTCCAAAGCAGTGTTGCCACAGCCCCTCTTCGGCACTGCTGTGATCAAATGCTCATAGGAAAGCCTGAAGAGAGAGCAGATGTGTATGTAGGGGAAGAAAGCTGTGTAGTTGAAAAACAGGGTTGTTATTCTTGAGTTGTACAGAGAACTGCGTTAACAGTAAAGCTTTGTGCCATTGACAGGGTGTGAAAGAGGCTACCTGTGTTACTCTGAGACTTGTGACCTGCCCTGCCTATGTCTAGCCAGCCAGAGTGAATGGGGCCAGGGTTAGCTGCCTTCATCTATGCAGTCACAAAGGTAAAGGTGATACTGGAGAGGATATTCCCTCCTGGGAGGCCTTGGCCTCACGCCCCAGCAACCTCGGCCAGACTGGCTAAATAACACCTTTGTCTGAGACAGGGTTATGCATGTTCTCCTCTTCTACACCCTCATGACAAGTCAAGGTGGCTTAAGATCAAGAAGCAAGGACATGGATGTGGACTATCCCTCCGAGCAGCTCTAAAGTAGGGCCATGCACATTGCCTTCCTGTAAGTTCTTGCCCAGATTCCCTTCACTTCCTTGACGTAGCTATCTCCAAATAACTTGTTGTGTTTTGTTTCGCATGTTAAAGTGGAAGTGCATGTAATAAGGAGGCCTACCACAGATTTTGATTTGCGGCAGTAAAGACACATTTTTTGGTCTGTCAGAGAACCTTTTTGAAGATGCCATCATGAGCACCTTTTCCTTTCTCAGTGCACTGTGACCAATATTGTTTTTTCCTAATAGAAATGTCAGCAGGCATTTTCTAAGAAAGGATCCTGGTTTCGCTTCCTGAGGTGGTCAGACATAAGAGTAGCTGGTGATGGTCATTTTTTTAAAGGCTCTTCTGAATGATAGATTATGTGCTTGTGCTGAGAGATTACTTGCTTTTTCTTGCTTTCAGTTATGTTTAAGAAAATGGTGAAAATGTTATTTATTGGCAGAAGTGAACAAGTCTTTTTTGTGATCAAGAAATTAATCTGTTCAAATTTTATTGTAAATTGGAAGTCATCTTTAAAAAAAAAAGAGCACTGTTAAAATTAAATGATAACTTTATTGGCTTCCTGTGTCTTTATTTCCTTTATTTCCTGTTAGAGGCACTTATATTTGGCTCTTATCCATTAAATAATTCCAGAAGTCAAGGGAAGGCCTGGTGTTTGATGTCTGGTCTGGTCTCTGATAAAGGAATCTCATCACAATAAAAAAAAGACCTCTTTCCTTCACCCTCTTCAGCCCTTCCTTTAGTTTTAGACAGGCTTTGGTGGCTGCAGGGTGCTCTCCCACTCAGAATCCACTGCCTTGCCCCAGCCTCCTTCCCAGCACTCTGCCCACCACTAACTCAAGTTCCAGCTCCTTCTGTTGCTTCTCTGGCAGAGGCCACTACTTGTAGAAAAGGAAGAAAGACATCCCAGAAAATGTGTAGTCTTTACAAAAGATATTAAAAATACTTTTTATTGTAGTAATTTAATAACTCTGCATATGATCCTAATAATAACAGGCATGAGTTCCATCTTGGGAAAAGTCAAAGGAGCCAGAGAGGCGTTGAATGTGGAGCTGAACTAACAAGAAAAGGAAGTGTAAGACCAGCCTTTGATTCCTTTGAAAGTAGAACTACCCTGAGGTGCTATGGACTCAGAAGGGAAAATAAATGGAGGATTGAGGGTAGGGCAAGCACCCAGGGCCCTTGCAGAGGAAAACGTATCTGAAGGAGTTTTATCAGTTCTGGCAGTAGAGGCAGAAAGTCTAAATCGAGGCCCTGCCAGGCCTAAGTAACGCAGTTTTACCAAAAGTACGGCCACATCAAGGGCCACAGTGCAGTTTACAGGCCTAAAAACAAGCCCAGATTTCTAATAAGCTGGGTAAGCATTTTGGGATCTTCGTTATTCCCCAATAGCATCCTGATTTAGCAATGTCCTTATACCGCAGCTAAACATTGAGTAAAATGAGGCAGTGTTTGCCCTTATTTCCAGAGTTGTGAAAAAAATTATTTAAAATACTGGAAATTAAGAGCTAAAATGCAAGCTCATGTTTACCTCCCACTACATGGAGACTCAACCCCTACTTGGCTGCCTGCTTTATGTAATTACATGGTCTTTCTGGTTTTTCTATCGTGACTTGCAGGTTTTAGGAAGAAACTGATGTTGATCTAGTAGATTCGTAACAGTGGGAAATTAGGCTTTTTAATGTTGGTGCAGTTCAGGGGAAGGTTCATCATAGAATCAAGGAGTGGGAAGACAAAGTCCTACTTTGAAGGCCAGTGGACACCATAAAATTGTGCTCTGATCAACATATCAACCGTCTTGTCTTCCTCATCTCAGTTTACCTGCACTAGGAGAGAAGGTTGATGCAGACCTACTTTTCCAGCTCCTGGTCTGTGTGCCCTTCTTTGTGGCTGAGTTAACTTGGCTGGGTTTTCCCTCTGAGGTCATCATTTATTTATCCATCCCTTATAAAACCTGCTTTCTAAAGAGCTGACAGCCATTGGCTCGCTCTTTCTTTCCTGAGAACTAAAAGAGGTCCCTCCAGCTCAGCTCTTCTCAAAGGCACCACATCTGCACGTGACACTTGTTCACTCATCTATAAAAGGAGGGAGAGAGAACAGTCTCTGATGTGATGTCATTGTAAAGGCTTCCTTGAATATAGACTAGACAGTTGGACAAAGGGCTGAGTTCTCTCGCAGCCTTCGGGCTGGAATGGGACTGACTCAGAGGACCCTGAATAGGTGTCGCCTGTTCCGTCCTGTGTGTGCTAGGGGGAGATCTGTGCAAGGCAGGCCTGGAACCCGCCTCCTCCATCCCCGTGAAGGTCCACTCACTTGCCCCAGCCGCCGGGCCCCAGCACTGACCATATTTGACCTGTGGTGGGTATTTTTTCACTCCGCTCTGGTCTGCTGGCTTTGTTCCCCTGGCAGGAAGAGAACACTCTTCTGAGAGTACAAATAAATTTGCTCAAAGCCTAACCAAAGAATATACTAGAGTTTATCCGTGTGGAGGAGAAGAGAAGGAATAGCAGATGCCCTTCCTTTGCCTAATGTGGAAGGACTGAGGCACCGGGCCAGGAAGCCACTTAGCTGCTCAAGGGTGGATCTGAGTGCCACATTCAAATGCCAGACTCCCAGTACTAGATAAGGAAACTCCTCAAGAAACGGGACTTCAGGTGTATGTCTTCTGGGATCCCTGGCTTCTTTTTCCTCACTTGAGAACTAAAACTGAACTCTCTCTGCTCACTTACTTACAATAAAAAGCTCCTTAAGGGTTCTTTCCACTCATCCTTCCTCTTGGTGACACAGGTTGGTTTTCAGAGTGACCCATATCTCTGTATGAAGAGCCACCTTCTTCTCCTGAGGCTGCATGTGAAGAGCCAGATCTATTGGGAGTCTCTTGGCTAATCAGGGTGGTGGGCATGGACAGATCTCTGTTGACATGAGTGTCATGGGATAATTCACAGAACAAAAGGTGGCAGGCTGGAGGATCAGGTGGGGGTGGGGCATACTCCTGACCAGGATCAGATAGCTAGGAAAAACAGAGTAGTTATGTAACTGTGTTTACTATGGCTCAGGTGACTCTGAGAAGGCAGAGGCAGCCCCCTGACAGAAGGCAGTGCCAGAGACTGGGAAGAGTCACAGGGAGGGAGGTCCCTGTTAGATAAGGGAGTCACCAGAGGAGACAGTGTATTGGGATGAAAAGAATTTTTTTGTTGTTGACAACAGCCTGTCACCTGGGACAGCCTTCTCTATCCTTAGCCTCTCCCTAAAGCATGCCAGCTGTCTGTGGGGTTGAGCCAGCAGCAAGCAGAACTGAGGGTGGAGGGAAGAGTCGAGAAATCAGATACCTGTTTCTTGGCTAAATCTTTGGACTTTGCTACTTCCCCCCACCCTTACTTAATCTTCCACTTTTCCTAGGAGGGATTCGTGTCCCTAAATGTGGACAGAAAAGGAGGAATCAGTCAAGGTTCCTTGGCTTGTTCAAAAAACAGCATAGGGGCACCTGGGTGGCTCAATCGGTTAAGACTCCAACTTCAGCTCAGGTCATGATCTCGCGGTTCGTGAGTTCGTGTCCCGCGTTGGGCTCTGGGCTGACAGCTGGAGACTGCTTCAGATTCCGTGTCTCCCTCTCTCTCTGCCCCTCCCCTGCTCATGCTCTGTCTCTCAAAATGAATAAATGTTAAAACAAAACAAAACAGCCTAGAGGATAGGGGCACCTGGCTGGTTTAGTCGGTAGAGCATGCGACTCTTGACCTTGGGGATGTAATTTTAAGCCCCATGTTGGATGTAGAGATTACTTTAAAAAAATAAAATAAAATCCTAAAAAAAAAAAAAAAAGCAGCCTGGAGATGTAAAAGAAAATGGTGTATGGGGGTGGGGGCACTCAACACCACCTCTCCATCATAAGCACCCCCCACTTTGTTCTTATCCACAGTTTTGCTTTCCATCCCACCCCTCACCAGCACCCTGAGCCCTCTGAGGCTACAGTCCCAGCGAAGAAGGCCAAAGAAGGGAGCGGATAGTCCTTTGAGCCTAGAAGGAGTGGTTCCTGCTGCCTGGAAAGGCCCCCACACTCTCCCCCTCCCATAACCTTGGCCCCGTTGGGCAGTGGGCCGGTGGCCTTGCTGTTGTTCAGGGCCTCTCCCGCAGCCCAAGTAACCTGTTGTGCCTGCTGGCAAGCCGATGCTCACAGAGGGACTGGAAGAGACAGAGGGAACTGAAACAAAGTCCTGAGTGCCCAGGCCCTCCTCTGCCAGCTGCCCCAGTTCCCTCATCCTTCCCTCTGGGGGAGCGGGCTGCACTGTGCAGTGAGAGCCCCAGAGGGGCTGGCCAGCAGGCCCGTGTGCCCAAGGCTTTGTCCAGCAGGCCTGCTCCTGGCCAACCTCCCCTCCTCCCTGCCTGCCTTCCCCCTCCCCCACTCCCACCCGGAGCTCCTGGCCCGGGCCTAACAAGCAGCCCATTGTGGCTCTGAGAGCAGGCACGGGCAGCCTGCAGGCGATCGCCCGCAGAGGCCTGTTTCCTGGGTCCTTGACTCCCACCCAGCTGGCCTGACCCCCTCCCACAGCTGTCCCCTCCAACCCCCCACCCCAAGGTTGAGCCCAGAGGGCATGGGCAGCCCGAGCCCAGCAGGGCTTTCCCTTCTTCCTTCCTTCCCCACAGAGGGCACACAGAGGAGCAGCTGGCACACCAGGAGCCCTCCAACCTTGATCCAAGCATGCAGGCTCCACCCTGCAGCCTCCCCGCTGGGCTCAGCCTGGACGACTTCATCCCTGGCAATCTCCGGGCTCACATAGGGTCATCCTCCCAGGGGGCACGGGTGAGTGACAGTGAAGAGAGGGTTACTGTGGGTCCAGAGTTGATGGGGACCTCAAAGGACAGGTGGGGGAGCAGGAGGATTAAAGGGAAGGAAGGGGCAGAAGATAGCTCTAGAGAGCTTTGCGGGCTACCTACAAAGGGGTTAGGCTGACCCTCCAGCGCTCACCATGGGGTAAACCTTGTCCATGGTTCCCGCCCTTCTGCGGAAACTTCGGGCCTGAGCTGCTGCTCCTGGCCCCTCCCCACAGGTGCCTGTGATCCGGAATGGTGGCTCCAACACCCTTAATTTCCAGTTTCATGACCCTGCGCCCAGGACCGTGTGCAATGGGTACTTACCCTCCAGGAGAGATGCTTCCCGGCACCCAGGTGGGTCTGCTCCAAGATCCCCATGTTGGGGGTGGGGGGGATCAGAGCTTCGTGGGCCTTTGACCTGGTACCACCCTGTGATGGGCAGGAGGGCCAGGAAGGCAATGGCAGGACTCTCAAGGTCCTGGGCCTCCAAGCTCAGCTAGCTGCCCTTCTCTGTGTGAGCACTGGTGTCCTGTGAGTGTAAAATGTGCTGTGGGAGAGCAGACCGACGCATCTCTTCTCCTCCTCCTGTACCCCAGTGCCAGGGGAAGGAAGTATGCAGGGGACACAGTCTTGGGAGGCTGGGGAACCTCTAGCAGACAATGGAATAGCTTGGATTTGGGATGGAAGTGTGGAGGAACGTGAGCATATGTTGTCTGCTGAAAGTGTGGGGGCCAAACCCCACAGCAGGGCCTAGGGGCTGCTTCAGTCTGTACTCACCAGCCAAATGGAAGTTTGGAGAGGCAGCTCTGAGAGCCCGTCAGCTCCTAGGCTCCTTCCAGTCACCAGAGTCTGGGCCATGGGGTCCAGAAGATCCTGGGACCTTCTGGGTGCAGGTCTACCCTGAAGGCCCCTCTCCTGAGGAGGGAACCTCCTTCATTGAGCATCCTCTTGAGGCAGGCTCTGTGTCAAGTAGTTTATTCATTTGACAAATAATTGTTGAACACTTAGAGCTTGTAGGACACTGAAAAGACACATTCACAAGCCTTATTTCATTTAATCCCTTGAAGTCCTGGAAAGGTAAGCTACAATTATCAGCATCTTCCTAGTAAGAACCTGAGTCTCAGGGATGTTCAGTTGCAGAGGCTGAACCGAGATTCAAACCCTGGTCCTTCCAGGCCTGAAGACCTTCTGCTGCTACACTGGTGACTTGGGGGCTGAAGGTTCTGGGGAAGTTGAGGATGGTAGCCACTGTTGAGACGTAGCCACGTCTGGTGAATGAGTTTCTGTCCCTTATCAAGAGCCTTGAGGGGCGCCTGGGTGGCTCAGTCAGTTAGGCGTCCGATTTTGGTTCAGGTCATGATCTCGCAGTTCATGAGTTCGAGCCCCGCGTCGGGCTTTGTGCTGACAGCTTGGAGCCCGGAGCCTGCTTCGGATTCTGTGTCTCCCTCTCTCTCTGCCCCTGCCCCACTCGCATTCTGTGTCTCTCTCGAAAATAAAAACAAACATTAAAAGAAAAAAGAGCCTTGTGAGTGTGTGTCAGGCACTGTGCTCGGCACGGTCACACACACTGGATCTCCCTGGATTTTTGCCATGATTACCCTTGTTTTACAGAAGTGGAAACTGAGTCACTGAGAGGTTGCTTGCTGTGCCCCAGGTCACACAGCCAGTAGGTGGCAAGCTGGCATCTGAATTCTTTGTCCCCTCCACCCCTTTTCTGCCACACCCTGCTGCCTTCCCAGCTGGGACCGTCCCCAGTATTCTCTGCCAGTAATGATTCGCAGCCTTCATTCTGAAGACTTTTAGGGCAGCCCGAGGAAAGGATAGGGTGGACTTGGGCACAGATTTCTCGGGAAAAATCCACTTTCATTCACTCGAACTTAAAAAATAAACAAAGGCCTGTGGTCTTGCTGGGGATGGGGAAGTTTGTAGAGTCCAAGCCATCAGTCCAAACAAACAAGGAGATGTTTAAATTTTTTGCACCCACAGGATCAGTGTTCTGAAGAGCAAAGGGACAAACAAGTCCAGGTGGGGCCGCTGCCCTTTGCTAATGCTCTACTGCACACTCCCCACAGACCCTGCCTGGTATCAGACCTGGCCAGGTCCTGGGAGCCAGCCCCCTGGGAGCCAGAAGACCCCTGCCTCCCAGCACCCCCACAACTGGTCAGCCACATGGACCAAGGACAACAAGCGTCGGGACAAGCGCTGGATCAAGTATGAAGGAATCGGGCCCGTGGATGAGAGCGGCATGCCTATTGCCCCCCGATCTGTGAGTCCAGGGCTGGAGGCCACTGACAGATGGGGCCTAGGGACCCGCGCTGATCTCCACTTCTGTGAATTAAAGTGGGAGCCACAAAGAATGCACCCAAACCATTTCAGACTAAAGCAGGGCTCAACCATGATGGGTTTTGGGGGGTCATAAGCCACATAAAATTACAGGTGCTCTTGTGTGTCTGAGTTGCACAAGTGGTCTGTGGGGGGAAAGGGGATCTAGAATGCCCCCAGGTTCTCAGAGGAGCAGAGTTCCTGCTGTAAGGGCTGAGCGAGGCAGGGATCCCCTCTGTTCATAGCCACGGGGCCTAGCACAGCCAAGGAGTGAATGACTGGGCTGAATGAGCTAGCGAGAGTCCTCTGAGTGAGAAGGCCTCACACGGTGGCAGGCATGGAAGGATCCAGGGCCCAGCCTCTGAGGAGCCTGCCCTTCTTCCACTGCATGCCTGTCTTGAGCCAGCCACCTGCCTTCAGTTCTCCACCTGGAACTGAAGTTGGTAACATGCTTCCCACAGCTGTTTTCAGCCTCCGGTGAGGCAGGGGCCATGAAATAACAGCCTGTGTTATTGCATTTATTCTTCATTGTGTGCAAATATATGTTTGTTGTAGAAATACCAGAAATATAGAAAAGCAAAGAGGGAAAACAGAAAACACCCCAAATCTCACAGCCTCGGGACCATCACTGAGGGAGATCCTTCCCTATACCTTATTCATATGTAATGTGCTACATGAAGTTACTGTTATTAGACATATCACAACAGCCCCCCCACTGGGGCTTCAAGGGTGGCCAGAGAAATGACCAGTGTGGAAAAACTCCTGTGGCTTCATATCAAGAGGGTGGTCTGACTTTGTCTTTTCTGACCCCAGAGTGTTGACAGCCCCAGGGACTGGTACCGAAGAATGTTCCAGCAGATTCACCGGAAAATGCCAGGTGAGACATGCTTCTAGGGCCCTCTCTCTGCCTGATTGTACTCCACCCCTGAGGCAGGGGGAGGGATGGGCAGAAAAGGGAACGTACCTGCTCAGGGAGGTCTCCACCACCCCAGGCTCTGTGGTGAGCGGTCCCTAAAACAGGCCAAAGGGTTTGGAGCCTCCAAAGTCTTCTCTGTCCTTGGGCGGGGAGGGGGGACGATGACCAGACACTGTCCCTGGTATCCTCTGAGAGTTCTAGGAAGCCATGCAGTCACTCATTTGTCACATCAGCCCCCTGGTCACCTATTGAGCACTCACTGTGTGCTGAGCACTATTCTGGGTGCTGAAGATAAAACAGGGAATAAAAAAGAATGTCGTTGCTGCAGTGAAGCTGAAGACAGAGGGAGACACAGAATGAACAGATAAATATTTAATATGGCAGATTGTGGTAAGGGCAAGGGAGAAAAGAAAAGGTCAGTGCCCAGTGCGGGCTGGTCAGGAAAGGCCCTGATAGGTGGTGGCATCTGAGCAGAGCTGAGGGAGGGAAGGAGTCGGCCCTGCAGAGCCAGGAGAGGAGCCTGGCAGCAGGGGGAGTGGCAGAGACCCAGAGGCAGAAGCAGGCCTTTCTGGAGCAGCAAGGAGAGGCTGGGCTGGGGTGAGAGGGGCACTGGTGGGAGACAGAGGCAGAGTGATGGGATCTGGTCGCGGTGGGCCTTTAGGGCCATTATCAGACTTTGGCTTCTACTCCATAAGAGCTGAGGAGCCACTGGGAGGTTCTGAGCAGAAGAGTGACCTGCTCTGGAGGCTGGCCCCGGCTGCCGGGTGGGGAGGAGACTCTGGAGGCCCGGCTGCCAGGTGGGGAGGAGACGAGGATGCAGGATGCGGTGAACCACTTAGGGGGCCTGGCTTTAATCCAGGTTAGAGACGGACAGTGTCTCAGACCAGGGCAGTAGCAGTGGGACTTGTGGGATTGTGGAGACAGAGTCATGGGGATTTGCTGATGGACTGGATGTGGCATTAAGGAGAGACGTCACGGATGACTTGAAACCTGAGCAAGTCAAAGAGCGCCCCTCTTATAAGTACAGGGAAGTGAGACAGGTACAGTCTAAGGGGTGTTCAGTTTTAGATGAGGTCCATCTGCTTGGGGGTGTCAAGCAGGCAGTTAATATGCAAGTCGGCAGTTCAGGGGTGAGGCCTAAGCTACAGATGGAAATACCTGGGATTCACTCAAAAATATTTTGATTTAGGGGCGCCTGGGTGGCGCAGTCGGTTAAGCGACTTCAGCCAGGTCACAATCTCGCGGTCCGTGAGTTCGAGCCCCGCGTCGGGCTCTGGGCTGATGGCTCAGAGCCTGGAGCCTGTTTCCAATTCTGTGTCTCCCTCTCTCTCTGCCCCTCCCCCGTTCATGCTCTGTCTCTCTCTGTCCCAAAAATAAATAAATGTTAAAAAAAAAAATTAAAAAAAAATTTTTTTTGATTTAAAGCCCCCCAACTAATTCCAATGTGAATTCCTGCAATAGACAGTATTTTTTTTTTTTTTAAGCCAGGAGACTAGACAGGATCACCTGGGGAGATAGACAGAGGCCCAAGGACTGAGTCCCCAGGTACTTGGATGTTCAGAGATTTGAGAGATGAGCAGAAATCAGCCAAGCAGACAAAGAAGGTACAGCAGGGAAGCCAAGTGAAAAAGAACTTTCCAGGAGGAATGATCCACTGTGACAGATCGACCATTTTAAAAAATATTTTTAAAGTTTGTTTTTGAGAGAGAGCGAGCGAGCAGGGGAGGGGCAGAGACAGAGAGGGAGAGAAAGAATCCCAAGCAGGCTCCACGCTGTCAGAGGGGAGCCTGATGCGGGCTGGAACTCACCAACTGTGAGATCGTGACCTGAGCTGAAAGAAAACGAGAGTTGGAGGCTTAACTGACTGAGCCACCCAGGCACACTGACCATTTTGATTTGGTAACATGGAGGTCACTGGGGTCTTTCATAAGAGCAGTTGGGGGCAATCTGTTGGAGCTGAAATCTGCTTACCAAAAAGGGGCATTGGAGACAGTGAGTTAGTGATGGCACAGCTGTTTCTTGCAAAGGAAAGCCAAACAGTCTAGGAGCTGGAGGACATATGGGATCTGGGGAGAGGCATTTTGGTTTGCATTTAAGACAAGTGCTGTTGTGGCACGTCTGCATGCCAAGGGGATCAAGTGGGTTGGCTGGTCAGCAGCTTTTCCTAGGAGGCCCCGGAAAGTCATGAGCGCCATGAGGAGTGGGTCTGGGCAAAGGGGAAAGGACAGGCATTCAGAAGGGGGTGCAGAAAGGGAAAGAGGGAGAAGGGGAGGTGGAATTTCCCCAACCTGACATGGTGAGGGCAGGTTTACAAAGGTCAGGGAAAGGGTGTGTGTGGGAACGTGGGGAGGGAGGAACAGGAGGGTTTGGGCAAGTCCGCTGCCTGGGTTGGCTCACTCAGGCCCGAGGTCTGCCAGAGGCATTTCAAGCCCTCCAGAGAACTGCCCTCCTAATTCCTTCCCTCCCTCGGGACATTCTTCAGGCCCTGACTCAGCCCCTTGTCCCCTGCTCTAGCAGGAGGATGGCTGGGAGCAGCTGAGGGAGCCTCACAGGGCTCAGTGTCCTCACTTGAGGCCCCATCCCTGATCTGGTCCTTTCTGCTCCTGCAGACCTGCAGCTGGACTGGACCTTTGAGGAATCACCCAAAGGTGAGGGGATGCGGGTGGCCCACCCCAACTCAGTGCCTGCATTTGCCCATCTCGTAAGCCGTGCCTGGCTTTGAGGCTCCCCCGTTGGCTTCCTTCAACTTGAGAAGTTCCTATAGCCCTTTTTCAGTGAGCTTCAAATCCCCTGGTAGGTGGCGATGAAAAACCTCAGCTTCGCTGTCCAGTCGACATCTTAGCCCTGGCTCTGATTTCTCTGGGCTTCTCTCTCATCATCTGTAAAATGGGGACACTACCTACCCCAGAGTTGTGGAGATTTAGTAAAGAGTGTGAAGCCCTTGGTGCAAACCCCAACCCTGTTCCCACAAGCCACCCATGAGCATGTGTGAGCGTGGGTGCCAGAGCCTTCAATGGTCACCCAGGTATCCTCAAGCTCAGCTCTCACTTCCCCTGGCCTGTCTTCTCCCACCCTCAGTGGCTTCCTCCTGTGCGGCCTCTGCAGACTCAAGGCATCCAACGCCCCAGCAAAGACCGGCTGCCAGGCCAGGCCAGGCCTCTTCTCTGAGTGGGTGAGCCATCCTAGGAAAGGGGCCCAAGTGCTGCAGAGGGGTGCTAGCTTCCTTGTGGGGACTGGCACCCCCTGGTGGCCATGGCCGGTGCAGCCTCCCCGTGCCCCCCTCCCTCTGCCCTACCCCACAGCTCTGCTCCTCCTTAGGGTCCCCACCACTCCAGATACCCTCCTCGCAGCCAGGGCCAAAGGGGAATGGCGGGCAGGGGTGGACTCCGCACCCATTCCTGGTCAGGAATGCCTGTGATTCTTTTGTGGTTTGTAGCAGGAACTCATCACACCAAAGATCCACAGGTCATATGGGGTGAAGAGTGGAGTGGCCCACAGGCTGGGCGTGGACCTGTGGCCATTCACTCCACAGCCTTAGAGAAAACAAGGGGTGCAGAGGATCCCAAGTTTCCTCCCAAGTCGGGGGAGATGAGGATGAGAGAGGCACCCTTCCACATAAGTGAAGGTTGTAGTTCCTTTGTTCTGCACAAACCACACAAGCCCAGCCCAGGCTGCCAGGGTCCTGGAGGGGCTCAGCCAGACCTTGAGAATCAGGAGCTCTGCTCACAGTGAAATCAAGGGGTTTCTTATTCCTTTATAGGAAGGGATTACCCTCATTAGCGTGGCCATAACTGGCCTGTGGCTCTTGGTGTCATCAGTAAGATAGAGGCTAAGAGCTCAAGATTTGAACCCAGAGTTTGGATTCAAGCTGCTGTGCTGACACTAGCCATGTGACCTTGGGCACCTTAACCAATCTCAGCCGTCTGTTGAGTGGGGACCACAAGGTGGTTGTGAGTATAAAGGCACATAGCAAGTCTCCACAAATATCACTAATATACAGGAGTAAATATGACTAGAGCTCCCTTAAATTAGGAATGGTGTATTCTATTCTCATTACCACTGTTATTACTAATATCATTATTTCTAAAATAGAGAATAGAGTCATACAGCCAATAAATCCTCACCTTCCGGTCAGACATTCCATCATTTGATAAGCTTGGTACAGTGAATCCACTTGGTGGAAACATTCAAACTCAACAGAGGCTGGAACATTTAAGCCAGCCAAGAAAGGAGCCCTGGAGGGGAACTAGGGCAAATGTGACCATGTGGAGCTTTGGTGGCTGGAGTGTTTTCACAGATGACATCACTGAATCCAGAACCCTTAAGGGACTGAGGCTGAGGGAACAGAAATAGCTTACCCAGGCTCCTGAGTCAGGGCCACAGGCTCTTTCCCCTGCCTTGGGTTCTCCTTGGACTAGGATGTGGTCCCACACTCAGGTATGTGTGTAAGACCGCTCAGCTGTGACAGCCAGAAAGACCAGCTTCATCAAAGCTGCACAGACATACATAGCCACAGTCATGGGGCCAGACTGAACACCAGTGTAGAGTATTTCACCAAGGTCAGTAGGAAAGGTCTAGCCATAGCTTCACCACACCCTCATGAAGGTGGGAATCCTACTCATATTATAGGTATCGAATCTGAGGCTCTGAGAGCCCTGTAATTTGCCAAAAGGTCACAGCTAAGTGGTAGAGCTGGCATTTGAACTCAGAGCTCGTAACTTTCCAGTATGTAACACTGCTTTCGCAGGCTAGAGCCAGTAGTGAGGGGTGATGTGTGTATGTGCAGGGCTGTGTTTTCACGTATGCCTCAGTCTCCCTAAAAGGAAACTGAAGAGATGTCCTCCCCTGTCTTTAGAAGTTGGGACCCCTCTGAAGAGTCTTCTAGAAGCACCTTCAACTGTAATCCTGGAGCATCCTCCCTACACCAGACCCCACATCAGGTAGCCTTCCCAGCATCCTCCCCACACTACCCCCAATGCTGTGCCCTTTGGCCAGTCCCCTCTGCCGAAAGAGTATAGATAATGCCCTTTCAGTTTGGGGCCTGTCCTGTGCAGCCATGAAAGCCCAGAATCCTTAGGAGGGCACTGGCAGGCACAGGGGTGAGGCAGTGGCCTACAAGCCTACTTTTTGAGCCTGGACAGTCTCCTGGCACCCCTCTACTCAAGCTGATGCCCACCAACTTCCATGCAGGTGCTCAGACGCCAAGAGAAAGTGGAAAATGTCTGGACAGAAGATTCTTGGAACCAATTTCTGCAAGAACTAGAGAGTGGGCAGAAGGTGAGTGTCCTCCTGGCCCTCTGAGAGTGGTCATACTCCTTAGCTAGTGCATTTACGAAAGGGGATTCACCCCCTCTGACTTACCTTTCCCACCCTTAGCCCAAGAAACCGCTAGTGGATGACCCTGTTGAGAAGCCCTCCCAGCCCATTGAGGTGAGTGCTGCAGGATAGGTTGGTGAAGGAGAGAGACAGCTATGTTGGGGGACAAATGAGGGAGACTCCTGGGTGGTATTGGCCCCAGTGACCGTGGGCAAGGCCAGAGACCCAAAGCTCTGACCCTCTCCAGTCCCATAGAGTTGACCTGTGTACGCCCAGCACCTGGGACAGTACCTGGCATAAAGTATACACTCAAATATGTGTTGAATCAATGTCTATTGACCAAAGCAGGACCAGAGAAGGGAGTGGTCAGTGTGGACTTGTCAGGAAGTGTTCTTGGAGGTGGAGCTGGGCTCTCAAGATTTGGGAGAGCTTGTTGAGCCAGAGAGAGAGCACTCAGTGTGGGGAGACACAGAGGCAAAGGCTGGAGGGGCAGCAGGAGGGAGAGCAGGTGGAGTACAGGCTGTGGAAAGCACAGAAGACCTGATCAGAGAGGAAATAGGGAGCCTTATAGGCTCTGGAGCAGGGAAGTAACAAGACAACAGACACTATCAGGAAGTACTAAGGTACTATCATGGGAGTAGGGATGGGCGAGCCCGGTCAGATGGGAGGGGCCGGTGAGAAGCTGTGGAAAGGCCATCCTGATACCCTGAGACAGCTCTGGGCAGGCCCACAGGCAGGGAGCCTGCCCTTTACCCAAGCACTGCGTGCTTTGTCCAGCTGCCCATTGGGTTTCTCACATCTGACCTTCGATCAGCGCTCCCGCACTGTGTCCTCCACCACCCCGCGCTCCCGCCCCTTCCTCCCTCTCCCCACCCCCTTTACTGCCGAAGTCTCTCCCCATAACCCGCCCCCAGGTCCTGCTGGAGAGAGAGCTGGCCAAGCTGAGTGCGGAGCTGGACAAGGACCTGCGGTCAATTGAGACCCGGCAGCCATCCCCCAAGGTACCGGCCTCCCAGTCCCCTCCTGGGACCCTGAGCCCGCAGCAGCTGAGCGTGGGTGGGAGGGGCAGGCAGACCAGAGATGTTGCCTCCAGCGCGACCTTGGACGGACTTCATCCCTGTCTGCTCTCTCCTTTATAAAATGCAGGGCGTTGACTTTTCCAAATGACCCCTAAGAACCCTTCCAGGCGGACTCCACGTCAGCCTGACGTCCTAGTGCCGGGGGCTCCCCGCCC